TTGGGACCTCCCTGGTTAGCCAGGACTGCTGATAGATGATGGAAAGTGGCTTGGTGAGCACCTCCACCAACTCCGTTGGTACCCTTGGGTGGATCCCCTCCAGCCCCATAGACTTATGTGTGTCTAAGTGGTGTAGCAGGTTGCTAACGGTTTCCCCTTGGATTATGGGATTTCATTCTGCTCCCTGTCCCTGCCTTCCAGCTCAGGAGGATGGGTACCCTGAGAACAACTGGTCTTGCTATTAAAGATTGAGGCAAAGAAGGCATTAAGTACCTCAGCCTTTTCATCATCCTTTGTGACTGTTTCCTCCTGCATCCGATAAGGGATGGAGATTCTCCTTAGCCCTCCTTTGCTTTGCTTTCATTGCCAATGTATTTATAGAAACATTTTTTATTGTCTTTTATGGCAGTAGCCAGATTGAGATCTAGCTGGGCTTTGGCCCTTCTAATTTTCTCCCTGCATAACCTCACAACATCCTTGTAGTCCTCCTGAGGGATGCACTTATCTGAATGTGTATGTGTGTTTGTGTACATGCATCTATCCAACCAGGCAGAGGTTATGTTGGAAAAGTAGGCATATTTTCCCTCTTGTCACCTGTGACACGTCGATGCTATTTATAACACCATTCTTGGAAATGCTGGGTGAAGAGCATGAAGGTGGTTGGAGTACTAAAGACAGTCCTGTTTCTTTTTCAGGAAGCTAGCTCCGTGCTGGATAAACCTACTTCTAAAGATAGATAAAAGCAGATCTCTGTTACCTAGTTAGGCTGTGGACAAGAGAAGGCTTCTTAAAAACCTGTTTGCAAACAGATTACTTCCTTCTAACAGGGTATACTGTGGAATTATCTTTGAGATACTGTATGAAGCCAAAGGCTCAGTGACAAAACTTTAAGATGGAAGATTTAGACAAAGGGATCAATCAATGCACAAAGAAGGGGTAGTAATTGAAGCAAAAATTGAAGGATCTCTAAAGTGATGATTCAAAAAACAATTGTGATAGTGGAAAAGGCTAAAAGAATTGCTTACGACTGAGACAAGTATCTAATAATTATACTAGGATATGACTTTCAGTCCTAGCTCACTGACTGGAAATAGTGTACATATAGATACACGTTACATATATACACTATATTTGTGTGTGTGTATGCATATATATGTAATATATATACAAGTGTATGTTCCATCAGAGAGGATTGTTAGGGAGAATGCATTCTGCTATGTTTCCTTGTTACCCTAACTCCCTGGGCAAAATAAGGAACAGATAGATCTTGAAGAGAATGGGAAGGGAATCCTTTGAATACCAAAAAAAGACTCCACTTCTTTCCAAAAGGGAAAAGTTTTTTTTCAAAATTCGTTTTAAGCAAAGTTAAACTCACACAGTTTGAATAAAAAATATGCCTGTAGACCAAAATCTTCCCTTCAGAGTACGGGCCTGTCCCTCAAATATCTTTCATCTTGTGTATCTGATTCTTTCCCAGCAATATGGACATAAAATGCTTCAGAAAGCCCCTAGCAATTGAGAACGCAGCTATGTTATTTACTGCTTTTGTTATATTATTGAAATGCTGCCAAAAATACACAGAAGTGACAGTGAATTTTATCTAATTGCTCTCTTGCCTCTTGGCTGCCAGTTACTCCCTTCTTCCACAGCCTGTTTTATGCAAAATCTCAATCTTTCTGAAACACGGAGTTATGGCTGAGGCTGTAGAACCGCTTGAAATTACTAGAAAGAAATAATTTCCTTGCACTACTAACCTTTGGCTGCTTTCACTGAGCGTTTGGGTTTATTCCACTGTCCACAGCAATACACATCACGGGACCAAGCCTACGAGGGAAAGTGTTTAACCAGTCAGTGACCAGCACAATCAAAAGGTGCTATATAATCCAACAAAAGAGCACCTAAACGGGGAGGGAACGTACAGATTTGCAGTCTAAATATGGATCACCTTCCTGCTTTTTTTTTCCCTTCCATCTGCCAAACCCCATGATGTAGAAAGTAGTTGAGCAAAGATTAATTGTAGCATCTCTTCTCATCTCTTTTCATGTTGGTAGCAAAACCTTGCTAATTTGAATGGAGGCATGATCTTCACCTTGACCAGAACTTAATTCCATAAAAATGTGAGTCCTGAGGAAACCATAGAAGTGACTATAAATTTGACCACCACACAAGAAATAGTTAAGGAGCAGTCCCTTCTTCTTTAAATAACTTCAGCAGAGAACTTTAAAGCTTTTAATAGCACAATTCCTCAATAATCTTTTTCTATCTGACTCTTGAGTAGCTGAAGTCATTTTAA